TGTCAAATTATCTTCATTGTCTTACATATTTACATTTATACGTTGGTAGAATTGTAACTGACCTTGAAATCATAATTTAACATTTTTATCTTAAAGTTTGAGTAATTTGCTAATTTTTTTTGTGTGTGTGTGTGTGTGTGTGTGTGTGTGTGTGTGTTATAAAGCTAAATTTTTTTTAGCCCTGGATTAACTTAATTGGATACAATAGTAGTGCCTATATTCAGGGACAGTAACACGAAAAAGTAATTGCAAAAATATTCCATAAATTTATAAAGTATTCTGATACAGCAATATTCTCTTTATGATATAGCAAATTATCTTCAGTATTAAAGACCTTAGTATTTTTCCAAGGCATGGAAGGATATCTCTGTAATAACTGAATTCTCAACAAAGATCATCATGTTATCATTTTAATGCAAATTTTGATGTTAAAAGGCAGAGAATGGTAGTGTAGGTCCTCATAATATTGAGAGCTGGATATTATCAATCTTCTTCTTCTTTCTTCCCTTTTTTTTTTTAAGACAGGTTCTGGTCTGTCACTCAGGCTGGAATGCAGTGGCATGATCTCGGCTCACTGCAACCTTTGCCTCCCAGGTTCAAATGATTCTCTTGCCTCAGCATCCCAAGTAGCTGGGATTACAGACACGTGCCACCATTCCTGGCTGATTTTTGTATTTTTAGTAGAGAGACAGGGTATCCTCATGTTGGCCAGGCTGGCCTTGAACTCCTGACCTCGAATTCTGTCCACCTCAGCCTTCCAGAGTGCTGAGACTACAGGTGTAGTCTCTGGGTTGCAATGTTCCTCCAAGATAAAAAAGTTTACATAAGAGTCCTCTGGATGGAAACACAAGTTGGACAGAGTCAATATTATTTTAATAAAATACAGTTAATAGGAGTTGCAATAAGTGAAATAATGCCCCACGAAAGTGCCCATGTCTTAACGCCTGGGTTCTAGGAATATATTATGGTATATGACAAAGACAAATAGAGGCTGCACATACAACCAAGGGTGATAATCAGTTGATTCTAAAATAAGGAGATTAATTTGAAATACGAGTTTGGTGTCTACAGCCATACCACCCTGAATACACCGGATCTTATCTGAACTGAGTGTGAGCCTAAGGTAATCACAAAAGTTCTTAAATGTGAAAGAGAGGCTGAGAAAATTAATGCTGTGATGTGAGAGTCAGTCAGATTTTTTAAAAAATTTTTTAAATTATGTATATACACAAGTATTCTTGGAATGTATATATTTATACACTACAGTGTATAAAATGATGCTGAGACTATTTTTAAAAATGTATGTGCTGGAATTAATGAAGAAAGAATTTTGTGAGATAAAAACATGTTAGTGATGATTTGAACATGCCATAAATAACATTTATGATGTAAAATCTTATTTTGAGATATTCAAAATATGTTTCTCTTTCACAGTTTAGATTATTACATTCCACTTACATTTTCATTGAAGAATACCTCTTTTTTCCAAGCTGGCATTGGAATCTCAACCATCAGCTTCCTCATTTTCTTCACACTTCTTCTGTAATGCAGGCCTAAGCCCACTGACCTGACCATTTATGACTTGGCCCTCATCCACATAGTGATGCTCCTCACTGTGGAGTCATTGTTTTCTCCAGGTCGGTTTGAGTCACTGCATTTTCAGAATGACTTCAAGTGTAACGTATTTTCCTACCTGAACAAGATGAGAAGTTTCTGCATCTGCACCACCTGCCTCCTGAGTGTTCTTCAGGCCATAATTATCAGCCCCAGCAGCTCTTAGTCGGTGAGGCTTAACCACAAATCCACCGTTCTCACCTGCCATTTCTTCTGCTTTTTATGTTTCTCAGGTTTTTTTTTAAGGGGTAATCTCATCTTGTACACTATAGCTTCTTCCAGTGTGACCCTGAGCAATCTTCCGCATATCAGTAAATACTGTTGGCTTTTCCATCATCAGAAGATTGTTTCTTACTCTGTCATTATCCAGAGATGTTTTGCTTATAAGAATAATGCTGCCTTCAAGTGCATACATTTGTTCAGGCACCAGAAGAAATTCCGGTACTTTCACAGCACCAGCCTCTCCCCAAGACCTTCCCCAGAGAAAAGTGCCACTCAGACCATCTTGCTCCTAGTGAGTTTCTCTGTGGTCATCTACTGGGTTGATTTCATCATCCCATTGACCCCAGCCTTGCTATGGGCATATGACCCTGTTGTCCTGGGTGTCCAGAGGCTTGTGGGCAATGTATATGCCACTGTCGGTCCTTTTGTTTTACTCAGATCTGATGAAAACATCATCAGTGTGATGAAAACTGTGAGACAGAAAGTTAACTAGTTATTTTTATTAAAAACAGATTATTCTGTCACCACTTAAATTATTTAAGTAGTACAGAATTTCCCATCTAATTTAACTTAAATGTCTGGACTTACAGTTTCAATATGTCTAAATAGTTTTGAAATTAATGCTGCCAATTCTCTTATGTTGAGTTTAATGTACATGATAGATATTGCCATTTTTTTTTATTTGTTAGATACCTTTTACTGATTTGATATCTCCTATTTTATTTATTTATTATTATTATACTTTAAGTTGTAGGGTACATGTGCATAACGTGCAGGTTTGTTACATATGTATACTTGTGCCATGTTGCTGTGCTGCACCCATCAACTCGTCATTTACA